AGTGGATTCAGCTATTCACAAACACAGAATCAATACTGAAAGTATTTTTATGATGTCTGTAACAAATATCCATCTATTTTTTTTWAAATTCCTTGCAATTGCTACACTTATTTAYACCTTACAATTGTCTTTCGGGTAAATGCAGCTTTTAAATGACTGTGAAATTGACAATAGTTTATGCCTACCTTGTCATGACCATGTTATCTAGACTTTTGATAAATTGTTTGTCAGTAACACCTTGGCCTTGTTTGTGCTGTCATCTTTTCCCAATCATACTAAAACTGCTCTATCTGCAAATGTTCTCATAACATAATACATGCTATATTTCTGCATGCAAAATATATTTCAGACGTGAATCGTATATAATCCACTAAAAAAATCATATGAAATAATTAATATGATGATTATAAAAAAATATCTGACATTTTATGAAAGTTACATGTTTGTAGAGTACAAACACTAAAAGTATGCAACGTAAATACCACTAAATACTGATAAATCATGCTAATTCTATTGCTTTCTAATGTTTGGTTAACATTATTTAGTAGTAAATAGTGCAAAGTGTTGCGCACATTTAGTGTTTGTACTCTATTAATATTTTTTGACTGGTTGAAGTTATTTAGAAATGTGGAATCCCTCAGCTTCAAGGATCATTCTCTCAGTAATTTTACCTAAAAGATGTAAAATCTCTTATGATATTTATATATGTCAAGAGAAGAAAATTATTAGTTGAGAAAAGAAAGAAGCGGTCTGATGCAATATCTGACGAAGATGCAAGATCAATTGAGGAGTTTTACACGAGGTATGACTCAAGTAGAATGCGTCCTGGCCGTAAAGACTATGTRACAGTCAAATCAGAAGGAAAAGAACACAAGCAAAAGAGCCTACTTATCTACAACATCTCTGAAGTATACGAAATCTTTAAAACAGTAGCACCAGTAGCCTCCAAATTGTCTTCTTAAAGTTTGCATCCCTTAGAACACCAAATGTCCTTCCTATTACTCCTTGTGACCAGGAAATGTGTGTATGTAAATACCACRAAAATTTCAATTTGCTGCTTGATGGTGTAAAAGTTGTAATTTCTGAAGTCCCCAAAAAAACCCGAGGACATACTGCTTACTGCTGTATGTGATATGCAGAATGTAAAATGTTTAGATAGGCAGTGTTCAAAATGTCAAGCCCATCAGCCAATCGATGAGCTCTTTCAGTGTGATGACAACACACCTATGTCGTACTACCAATGGCACATAAACAATGACGGCAAAGCAAAAAAGGAGAGAATAGAGTGCACTGCTGCTGATGCCAAAGAAGATCTCAAAGCTCAGCTCCAACCATTTGCCAAACATGTGTATAATGTAAAGCGGCAATGCAATGAGTTCTAATACCTGAAAGAGAATTTGCCTGAAGGGGAAACAATCATTCATTTGAATCTAGCTGACTTTCCCTGTTATTCCCTACCTGAAAGTTTTCAAACTAGCATCATTGCAGTCAATGCTATCTCAATTATTTTTAAACAAATCTTCAAGGTTTAAGGACATTTGATGCGTGTGCAGTCATGGAGATCGGACATATTCCTCAAAACTGCCGAAACTTTGGTCKGTTGCTGCTGTTATATCTCCTTATTTGGAATAAATCCTTGATTTCTAAAAACTTAATCGACAACGAATATCCAGAATGGATTTCCTCGTCATGTAGACCACATATTACATCACGATTTGATTCGAAACTAAATGTTTTACACAAAGCTACAAAATGGCGGAGAAGTGTCAATACCAAAGTCAAAAGACTTCTAACGCCCACAGTTTACTACAGCAATTCAACGTCAACCTTCAGGCAATTATTCAACTAATACATGATATTGAATTGAATCCTGGACCTGATCATCTGGTTAGTTACCTCAAGAAGAAATCAAATAGCAATTTAACAATTGCACACCTCAACGCTCGATCTTTGAAATGCAGAGATCATTTTGTCATTATGAAAGAAACAATCCTTGATAACRAGTTTGATGTATTTACTGTTTCCGAATCCTGGCTTGATAGCTCCGTAAATGACTTGGAGATTGAAGTTCCTGATTATAACCTTTATCGTGTCGATCGACAAAACAAGGAAGGCGGAGAGATTTGTGCATATGTTTCAAGAAATTACAAGACTGAGGTACTTCGAGATATCTCCCACATTACCCCATCGGGGTTTCACCAACTCTGGCTAAAAATCCAAGTCAGGAAATTAAAATTTATTGCGGTATGTACAACTTATAGACCTCCAGATACTCCTCTGTCTTTTTTGGATTTGGACTTAGCTACTAGCCTTACTTATGTTTCATCGCTTAACCTACCAATTTACATACTCGGGGACCTAAACTGCAATCTCCTGGACAGTAAAGGCCTATTTACACGGTACGATTTGCCGCGCGCGACTTGACGTATACGGCAAATTTTGGTACCATTTACACGAGCACAACTTGTCGCACGCGGCACGAAAAAAACGCGAGCAATTTACTCGTCAAATTACAAGACTATTTCTCATTACAGCAAATGTTTCTTGTAAAATGCCACCATACACAGTTGAGAAGTGCAGTAAATAATCATGTCTACATTGTTATTTGATGAGATCATTCAGAATTTTTGCACTTCGTGTTTAATTACCGGTAAAGACGTTTTCATGGAAATCCGCCATTTTGTTTTGGAATCAACTAGTTCCAGTCCCAATCTCGATCAAAAACGTTATTTTTACGTCATTTTCCTACGGCATGTAGTAGGGTTTTAAGCCAAAGCTTAAAATGCTACGACAAGTCTTGAGGCCGCGTACGTCTGTCGTAGGATTATTTACACGACCCGATTTTGAGCTGATTTTGCCGTATACGTCAAGTCGCGTGCGGCAAATCGTGCCGTGTAAATAGGCCTTAAAAGTCAGTCCTCGAAGGCTCTCTCAAGTTTCTACCTCTCCTTCAATTTATCACAGCTTATTACGACTCCGACCCGCGTCACAGCATCTTCAAGATCGCTGTTACATGTTATTTTAGCATCTGACATAAAACAAGCTCCAAAGGCAAATGTTATGCGTAGCTCTGTCAGTGATCATGACCTAGTTTATGTTATGCTACGACTCAAGAAGATGCGTACCAAGCCTGTGTATGTCACCACGCGAAGTTTTAAGAATTATAAGCCTGATGCATTCTACAAAGACGTATCTTTRGCCCCTTGGTCTATTGTGGACATTTTCAATGAAGTCGATGATAAATTCCATGTATTTAATTCATTATTTCATAGTATACTTGACCAACATGCACCTATTAAAACCTTTATAGTTTGCGGAAAGCCAAACCCGTGTGTGACTGATAACATTCGTGGATTAATGAAGACAAGGSACTATTGGTGCAAAAAGGCCAAAAAGACCAACGACCCTCTAGCCTGGTCCGCCTATAAAAACTTTAAGCGCAAGGTGAAACACGAAATTAGATTTGCAGAGAAAGAGTTTGTAGCAGACCAAATCAAAAGTAATCCTAATGACTCGAATACTATCTGGAAAGCAATCCGTCTTTGTATACCAAAGAAATCATCGTCAAAGAGGACCTTTAGCA